AAGATTTCATCTCTAGGGAGTTGTCGGGCTAGAGAGAAAGAAGCAGCAGTTATGGCCATGGACATTGTGAGAATGAGTGAATGACAACAGAGAAGAGCAGATGACTGGTGCCAGCTCTTTCTCAGGGAACATCTATATTAATAAAGGGCACTAAAAGGGAAGGGTATCATTGAAGGCGTCAGGACAGTGCAGCATTGTAAAAACCAAAGAAACAGTTTTAATATGTTGCCTAGAAATCAAGGAAAATGAGGAATTTTTGAAATTCACGTCAGTAGAACTAAGAAAATGATGCACATGGATTTGAGAAGTTTGATAAAGTGAGAGGAAGAAAACTTGAGTGGAAAGAAGATAGAATCAAGCCCAGTTATCAAAGAGTGAGAAAATATCTCATGTTTGGGGAGGTAGGGACTAGGACTAGCATGTCGGCGAATGAAGGACCAAGGTCCTACAGAAGACAGAAAGCATTAAATAGAATACTAGGGTGGACTATTTAGCTTCAGAAAGGAAGTGGCTTCTTACTCTGAGCTTAAAGGAAAGAGTATGTGAATTGAAAATTCTGAGGTGAGAAGGAAGATAGCAACCTCATTAATACATAATAAGTATATAATTGAATATGTTTTAATAAGTAATGGTCCAATATCTGTGAGAAATTGGGGAGCAAAACTAAGGACATTTTGTATATCTATAGATATTTTTTACTTATTTTCATTTAAAAATATATTTTTATTGATTTCAGAGAGGAAGTGAGAGGGAGAAAGAGATAGAAACATCAATGATGAAAGAGAATCATTGATCGGCTGCCTCCTACATGCCCAACACTGGGGATCAAGCCCACAACCCCGGCATATGCCCTGACTGGGAATCGAACCATGACCTCTTGGTTCATAGGTGGATACTCAGCCACTGAGCCACACTGGTGAGGGCTTATAGATATATTTTTTTTTAATTAAATCTTTATTGTTCAGATTATTACATTTGTTCCTCTTTTTTCCCCCCCATAACTCCCCTTCTCCCAGTTCCCGCCCCACCCTCCGCCCTCACTCCCCTCCCCCTGTCCTCATCCATAGGTGCACGATTTTTGTCCAGTCTCTTCCCGCATCCCCCACACCCCTTTCCCCCCCAAGAATAGTCAGTCCATTCCCTTTCTATGTCCCTGATTCTATTATAGGCACCAGTTCATTCTGTTCATCAGATTATTTATTCACTTGATTCTTAGATTCACTTGTTGATAGATGCATATTTGCTGTTCATAATTTGTATCTTTACCTTTTTCTTCCTCTTCCTCTTCTTAAAGGATACCTTTCAGCATTTCATATAATCCTGGTTTGGTGGTGATGAACTCCTTTAGCTTTTCCTTATCTGTGAAGCTCTTTATCTGACCTTCAATTCTGAATGATAGCTTTGCTGGATAAAGTAATCTTGGTTGTAGGTTCTTGGTATTCATCACTTTGAATATTTCTTGCCACTCCCTTCTGGCCTGCAAAGTTTCTGTTGAGAAATCAGCTAACAGTCGTATGGGTATTCCCTTGTAGGTAACTGACTGTCTTTCTCTTGCTGCTTTTAAGACTCTCTTTATCTTTTGCTCTTGGCATTTTAATTATGATGTGTCTTGGTGTGGTCCTCTTTGGATTCCTTTTGTTTGGGGTTCTCTGCGCTTCTTGGACCTGTAAGTCCATTTCTTTCACCAGGTGGGGGAAGTTTTCTGTCATTATTTCTTCAAATAGGTTTTCAGTATCTTGCTCTCTCTCATCTTCTGGCACCCCTATAATTCGGATGTTGGTATGCTTGAAGCTGTCCCAGAGGCTCCTTACACTATCCTCGCATTTTTGGATTCTTTTTTCATTTTGCTTTTCCGGTTGGGTGTTTTTTGCTTCCTCGCATTTCAAATCATTGACTTGATTCTTGCGCTCCTCTGGTCTGCTGTCGGGAGTCTGTATAATATTCGTTATTTCAGTCCGTGTATGCTTAATTTCTAGTTGGTTCCCCAATATAGCATCGAGGGTCTCATTAGTTTTCTTGTAGATCTCATTAAGTTTATCAGCGGCTTCTAAACAGTTCTTGAGAGACCTTAAAAGTGTGGTTCTGAACTCTATATCTTCCATTGACAATTTTGTCCTGTTTCTTTGTCTCCGCATTTTGTTATGCTTCCTTGGTGCACCCCCTAGTGGTCTTTGTGCGCAGTCTTATAGTTAAACCTTGATTGTTGTAGCTAATACCAGGGAGGGTTTGACCTCCAGGCCAAGTGGCTATGAGAATCAGCTGTGTCTGCAGTGAGAGAACTTCTGTCCTCTAGGGAGGTGCTAATCTAGCCTTTGCCTGAGGCTATCCGGCAAATGCCTCTGTGCAGGGCTTGGGCGGGGCGGGTGGCACAGGATCAACAGGGTGGGACGGAGAGAGCAGTTATGGCGGCTCTCAGTCCTGTCCCCAGGGGCTCTGCCTCTCTGAGTCCCAGCGACTGCTGCAAACCTCGGAGAGAAAGCTGCACTCGCTCTGACCAAAGCCAGACAGTCCTGCTTCTCCCGTTTGAGTCTGGGTCCCTAAAGACTCGCCTGTATCTGGAGCTCAGAGTCTGCGACTCCCTCCCGATTGAAAACGCCAACCGCGCCCTCCGCTGCCAGCCCGCTCCGCGCACTCCGCACCTCAGAATTTGACTTCAGCACTGCGCCTCCTCTGAGTGTCCGTATGCGTTTCTCTTTCCTCCTAGTTGTAGGACTTCCATTCAGCTAGCGTTCCTGTGGTTCTGGGTGATGTCCATTCCGTTTTTTAGTTTCACTTTTGAAGTAGTTGTTCAAGGCAGCAAACTCCGGCGTTAACCTATGCCGCCATTTTGGTTCCCTCTCTCGGCTTATAGATATTTTTAAAATAACTTAAAACATTCTCTTCAGACATGGCTTTTTTATATAAGTAAATATTTTTATACTTGAAGCTTATCCTTTATCAAACTGTGTATCTGAATATAATTTAACTTTATCATCATAAGTGGGAATCACTGAGAATGTAGTCATTTAGTTTCTTAAGATAGCCTGAAACTAAACACATTTGTCTTTACATTAAATGGCTTCAGACTGCTGTGTGTGTGTGTGTGTGTGTGTGTGTGTGTGTGTGTGTGTGTGTAATGATTTTGCTATACTGATATTTTCTCTTTTCAATGGTCAACTTTAGCAGTTATTTTTTTCTTCCTACTTTGTTGGTTTTAGTATAGTTGTTCTCTTATTCAGTAAAGACTTGAAGGGTACTTGGGAAAACCAGATATTTGTCATTTATAGAGGCAATTCCTTCAGGGAAATAATGACCATGAAGTTAGTTTATGACCACTCAGTATGGTTTTTTGGGAGATGTGCAGCTGGACCCATGGTTATATCTCAGATCACTGGAGTTACTTAGTATTTTGACTTAGCAGTGGCATTACTATAGTTAGTTTTATAGGTTAAAATTTAAAATCAGAACTGAAATGTTAAGTAGTAAGGAACATATAGTTCTTTTTGGTTTTTTGCTTCACCTGACCAAATACAGTAAAGACTAAAAACCCAAGAGAAATGTTTACAGAGAAGAATAATAATAATGCTAGACTTTAAAGAATAGGCTACAGCCCAATGAGCCTTAAAAGTTTTAGGGGATAAAATAACAAATTAACTTTCTTATGAGGGTAGGGAGTTTTCCTGTGAGAACACAGAGGTGGTTTCTAATAGTTGAATATGGCCCCCAATCCTATTTTGGGGATGCTTACTCCTATTTTTTAGACATCCACACATAATGTCTGTCATTTTTAGTCCTATTTTTAAAAAATATATTTGTATTGATTTCAGAGTGGAAGGGAAAGGAGAAGAGAGAGATAGAAACATCAATGATGAGAGAGAATCATTGATCTGGCTGCCTCCTGCATGCCCCCCACTGGGGATCAAGCCTGCAACCTGGGCATGTGCCCTTGACCGGAATCGAAACTGGGACCCTTTAGTCCTCAGGTCGATGCTCTATCCACTGAGCCAAACCGGCTAGGGCTAATTTTATTTTTAAAAGAATGTTGATCAATAGTTGATAAAAATTATAACAGTTTTAAAATACACAGATTGAAAGTAATCAGGGCATTTTCTTAGATTAAATCATTACTTATCTCTATGTTTTCTTCCTGCCTTCATGGTTTTCCTTTAAAAAAACATCAAGCCCAGATTGTGGCTCAGTGGTTGAGTATGGACCTATGAACCAGGAGATCAGGGTTTGATTCCGGGTCAGGGCACATGCTCAGGTTGCAGGCTTGATCCCTGGTGTGGGGCATGCAGAAGGCAGCGGATCAATGATTCTCTCTCATCATTGATGTTTCTATTTCCCTGTTCCTTCTGCTCATTGAAATCAATAAAGAAACATAAAACATTAAAAAAAAACACCCCAAAACCTGATGTCACAATTTCCAAGTATCATAATAAAACTGTATGCAGACTTTGTTACAGAGAGTTGAAAGTCCCCATTTGCTCAGCCTCTAGTTATTTTTTCTTGCTGTCGAAATTAAAGCTTCAAAATTAGCTATAGTTTGGGTGTAAAACCACAAAGTCACTTTTCCCTCCTAAGGACATTGTAGCCTAGTTCTTTGTGGTTTTACTTGATTAGATCACTGATACTAATTTCAGTCTTGTACCATTTCGGTCAGCCATGTATATTTTCGAGATGAGAACAGAGAGTGCCCCCTCTATGTATTTTCCATTGTCTGCTCTCTTCATGATTGCATTGATGATCATTTTTATTAGATTGAACGCAATTCTTTACCTGTAGTTATAGTTTTTGGCAATTTCTCTTTTTTTTTTTTGGCAATTTCTCTTATAGATTTGTAATGTTAAGATTCGGTCAAAGCAAGAAAATGTACTATTTGGACAGGCTAAATTTTTGAAATTCAGTACTACTGTATATAATACAGTTTAATTTTAAAAAATAGTTTTATTTATGAATTAGTGAAATAAATACTTTTTATCCTCCATTTTTATTTTTAACTTTTTTTTTTTTTTTTAAAGTCCACAGATGCACTTTTGGTGGCAATCGACTCTGAAGTAGTGGGAGCTGTTGATATACTACTTAATCATCGACCAAAACGATCATCAAGACCAACTATAGTAGTTAGTACTGTTAAATGTTTATTAATTTGGATTTTTAAATAAAAATAAATCTCCTGCCCCATTGCCATCTTTTTCTTCCCCCAAATTTATTTGTCTTAAGGAAATAGATCTCTTTTACTCTGTAAAATATTGCTTTAAAGTCAGTAGACACTTGCAAAAATAATATTGTTTTCAGGAAACCTTTTTAAAATTAATGATATTTCCATAATTTTGTCAGTATGGACCAGTACTTTTAGTTTGGAACATTCTGCAGGTTAAGTTGAAGATACAAATTAGTTTCCACATGAATTTAATAATTAAATGTAAACAGTAAAACCATAAAACTTGAAGAAAATGTAGGTGAATGTTTACTGACTGGTAGTAGAAGGATGTTCTAAGCATAAAAGCAATGGCTGTTTAGAAGGTAAATTTCTGGAATTCGGTCATCAAGAAAAATTTAGAAAGCAGGTGGATAACTGGCAAAAGATATTTGCAGCATATATCAGAAGTTCATAATCTTAATATTAGACAAATTGATGAAAAACACCAAAATCAGAAAGGACACAAAAAAACTCAGAAAAGAAAATATAAAATACTAAACCTTACTTATAATCAAATACAAGATACTAATATTTACTTATCAAATTAACCAAGATTTTAAAAAATAATAATCACTGATGCAAAGGAGTAGTCTAGTTTCCTACATCATTGGTTAGGGGGGTGTTTTGAATAGCACTTTGGCAGGATGTGTCAGAAAAAGGAAAGATGTTCATATTATTTTTTTTAAAAAATATATTTTATTGATTTTTATGGAGAGGAAGGGAGAGGGATAGAGAGTTAGAAACATCGATGAGAGAGAAACATCGCTCAGCTGCCTCCTGCACACACCCCACTGGGTATGTGCCCACAACCAAGGTACATGCCCTTGACCGGAACCGAACCTGGGACCTTTCAGTCCACAGGCCAATGCTCTATCCACTGAACCAAACCAGTTAGGGCTGTTCATATTCTTTTACCTAGTGCTTTCTCCTCTAGGAATTTGCCTATGAAATGGTCAGAAATGTGGATAAAAATGTTAATTGTAATCTTGTAGTAGTGAAAAAACCTAAATATTTTAAAATTGAAGGTTGGAAATATAAATAATGATGTATATATTTAAATGGCACTTTTTAAAGAATATTTAGGAACACGGAAGAATAAAACCTAGGAAGTGACAAAAATGAGAATAGTAAACTGTATGTGTAATATGATCCAAGGTTAAAAATATGCATACAAAAGGAACTGTATGGAAATGTAGCAAAATGTTACCTAGTGGTAGCCATCTTATTGCCAAATTAAGGATTTTTTTTTTTTTACTGTTTTTATTTTTCTTTATTGCTTTTGTAATTAGGAAGATATTCATTAACAGTCAGATAAATTATTTCTTTAAACTGAGATATTGGTTGCATACAAAAATTTTAAAATTATATTACTCATTATTGGTGAGGATGTAGTGAAACAAGCAAACTGCTGGAGTGTAAACTGGCTATACTCAGAAGAAAAGTATTAAGAAATAATTATAAATTGCTTGTAGATTATCTGGCATTATCTGAGAACAACGAGAAACTGCTAAATTGCATACTTTATCATGTATTAGCTAAAATATTCTACTCAAATCTAGACTATTAAAAAGTTTGTGTGTGACTTTCTCCAGAGGATGGTATGAACTAGTGTAACTGGTGATAAGAAACCACAGGAATAGAGAAAAAAAAGGGCTAAGAATATAGCCCTTGTCCAAAGGATCAGAAATATCTATAATCCTGTTCAATTTTCTGTCATCTATCCTGCAGTTACTGTCCTATTTTGGTATACCTATTCCACTTTCTTGCATTTAAACCCATTTACTTTCTTGGCGGGGAAAGGAGGTGTGCCATGCAGGTTATTGGAGCAAATGACTGCTATTATTTCATCACCATGACTACTACCAATTGAATCTTGTGTTGCAAGGCTGTGGTAGTCTTCACCTGTTCAGTAAAAGAACACTTTCTACTTTATTGCTAACAAACAAGCGTTTGCTTGAATTCTTCCAGTGACAGCAAGATCAAATTTTAATAGCCTATTACTTCTAGACAGGCATTGTCAAATATTTTCCATATATTTTTTAACCATTTCAGTGAATTCATTATTGGCTTATCAAAATTGTCTTTTAATACATTTTGACTTTCATCTACAGAGTTTTTTTTAGCATGTTGATTATATTAACAATGAAATTATGAACTTTTAGCTATGTCTTTGAGTGTTTTCATATAGTTAAATGTTTCATAGGAAAAATGAGGACCATTTTTCTCTTAAGGGACTGAATATAACCTCCTTTTTAAAATAATATGTTTTTATTGATTTTTAGAGAAGAAGAGTGGCCGAGCTAATTTTCTCCTTTTTATAACCAATAATAGGAGGGAAAAGGGCTAAGTTCTTAGATTTCTCTGGAATTTTAAATAAATTTATTAATTTGAAATCCTGACTAAATAAATGGCAAGTATATAAAAGAGGGCCAAAATGGGATATGTACGTTAGAAAATATTAAAATTTACCAGTAATCAAAGGAAAGTAAATATTTCATGATAGTGTTTTTTATTCATAAACTGGGAGTGATCATACTGGTGAGTAAACCTTAAGAGTGAAATGAGTAAATTCCTATATTATTGGTAACATAAGCTATTAAAGAACTTTGGTAATATTTATCAAGAATTTTAAAGCTATTTGTGGCCTTTTGATCTATAATTCCATGTTAGGGGTTCTATGTTAATGAGATAATCCTAAATTTTTTTTTTTTTAAAGCTGTATTCGCCCAGCTGGCATAGCTCAGTGGTTGAACATCAACCAGGAGGTCACGGTTTGATTCCGGGTCAAGATACATGCCTGGGTTGCGTTGTGGGCTATACCCCCAGTGGGGGACGTGCAGGAGGCAGCTGATCAATGATTCTCTCTCATCATTGATGTTTCTGTCTCTCTTCCCTTCTCCCTTCCTCTCTGAAATCAGTAAAAAACATACATATATAAATAAAAGAGCTGTATTCATAAGGATGTTTGTGGTAATGTTATTTAAATTAGCATAATAAAATGTCTTGAAAATACGGTCTATGAAATTCCTTACATTGAATGCAGGATTCTGTACATGATTTTTTTCCTGAAGATTCTGGGCTGTAGCTTTATGAGATTATTAAAAGTGTCCTTGATCTTTAAAATATTAGGGACCATTGTTTTAATTATTGATGCCAAATTATTTATGCCAAAGATAGACAAAGGCTCAGAAAGGAATACTATAAAATGGTTTTTGGGTAGTAGGAATTATGGGTATTTGTATTCTTTCTGTTTTTCTATATTTTTCAGATATTTTATAATGTGTATGCACTACTTTTACAATGTTAGTAAAAATTATATAACAAACCGTGAACTTGATCAACTAATACTATGGAATGAAACAACTCTCAGGGAAACCTCTATGAAAAAGTGAGAAGTAGTGGAAAGAATATGCAATAATCATGAAATAGTCAACCTTCTTATTTAACCTTGATTCTTTTTAAAAAATGTATTTTATTGATTTCAGAGAGAAAGGGAGAGGGGGAGAGAGAGATAGAAACATCAATGATGAGAGAGAATCATTGATCCGCTGCCTCCTGCACACTCCCTACTGGGGATCCAGCTCCCAACCTGGGCATTTGCCCTTGATCAGAATCGAACCTGGGACCCTTCAGTCCACAGGTTGACACTCTATCCACTGAGCCAAACTGGCTAGGGCAACTCTGATTCTTTATTTGCTAATGATTTTTCCTTTGTGTCATGTCATGCCGACATCAGCCCCATGAGCCCATGTAGTGAAGGTGCTCAGGCTCCAGAGTAATACAAATCTGGTTTCTGCTCTGCAGTTTGCCATTCTATTGTGTACCTCAGGCACATTAACTTCTCTGAGTCTCAGTTTCTTTTTAGGATTTTACTGCTCAGTGCTGCAGGGTACTGTGGGAATTAAATGAGATGATAAGTGTAAAGTGGCTATAGTAGCTATGATTGTTACTGTTTTTAAGCATTTGGAACAAAGTAATAGAGGTAATGATTGAGAATATGTAGATAATTATCTATAATAATAAAAGCGTAATATGCTAATTAGACCAGACAGCTGAACGACCTTCCGATGTCCTTCCAGACGACCTTCCAGATCAAGCTGGGGCTGCAAGGGCCGAGGCATGCTGCCACGGCTGTGAGGGCCAAGCCCCTTGCACAAATTTCGTGCATCGGGCCTCTAGCACAAAATAAAGAGTGCCTCCTATTTACTTATCCCTTTTAAGTAGCTTCATTGCTGTCAATGTGACAAGGTTTGCCCCAGAGGTGGAATTTTTAAAGTTTTTCTCAAGCATTTATGGTCTGCTTATTTTTAACATTTCTGTTTTTTCATTTTATTCTTTTTTCTAAAATCTTGTTCTTTATCCTTATGCATGTTTCCATAATCTTTTGAAAGTTAAATACTTTTTCCAAATGTATTTCTCTAGATATCTTTTTGTTAGGAAAACGGAACTTTATTTATATGAATGTTTTCGATTGAAGATTTTGTTTGTCATTATTATATTACATTTATTAATTAAAATTAAGTTTTGAGGTTTCAAAAAAATTTCATCCTGGCAAAATGTTTATCTTATTCCTTATAATAATTATGTTCTTTGTGCTTTCCAATTTTTTTTTTTTCATTTTATTCTTCAAATAATTGTTTTCTTGAAGTCACAAATAACTTTTGAATGTTTATATAAATATTTTTCAGAAACTAATGGAGCAAATTCAGAATCCTGAGTATTCAACAACTATGGACATTGCACCTGTCATTTTAGCTGCTCATCGTAACAACTATGAAATTCTTACAATGCTGTTAAAACAGGATGTGTCTCTACCTAAGCCCCATGCAGTTGGCTGTGAATGCACATTGTGTTCTGCAAAAAATAAAAAGGACAGCCTCCGACATTCCAGGTTAGAAAATTAAGATTTTTGACAAATAGATGTGTGATGCAGTAGGATACATGCCAATGAAATGTTTTATTGCTCTTTTTATGTAGCTTTTAAGAAATATGGTACTGGGATGACTTGTAAAAGTCAAACTTCTAGCTCCTTTGCTTAATACAATGAGTTCTGCATGTTTTAGAAATGTTTACTCAATGATGATTAGGAAACTTCTTCAAATTATGAATAAGATTTATTTCATACTCCTGCCTATGGGAGCTGGGGGCACTGTTTGCTTTTTAGAAATAGAGTTTATTAGTCTAAGAGAATTTCCAAGTAGTAGAAGGGATAGAGAGATACCACTTTCTATCCTTTTATAACAAAAATTGTTTACTATCTGACTAAATATTAACCTGTAATGCCTCTTACTTTCCCTCTCACATAGTACATATTTAAGTCTATTTCTCTTCCCGTTCTCCCCAGTTGAAAATAGAAAGAACAACTGAGGAATGAATAAACAAGGAAGTACCCTATCCTGGACAAGTTGAGTAAGGTCACACATGTTGAATAAGGTGTATGGTTCTGGGCCAGACTAGAGAACCATATACCTTTTCAGCATAAGCGCACACACATTTACTATGAAATATGTGGTCTGGAAGTCCCAGGCAGACTACTGATAAGCTGTGTTCAGTTAAGGATTATTGTACAGTGTATATGAAATTAGCTTTAAAACTGTAAAATATCCACCCTCTCTCTTTCCTCATCTTAAGAATAGATCTTTGGTGGATTGATAGTCACAAATTCATAAATTGGGAAAGTTTCTTGGAAATCAATTTAATGTGTATGTGCAGAGGTCAAACTGGAATTATTTTTCTATTTTCAAATCTATTTTACAATGAGGCCCATGTTTCTCTTCGATAAGATCTGGTTGACAGCTGACTATATTATTAACTTTTTAGTTTTAAAATGACTAATCTGTGAAATGACAAGAAGAAATTATCTCTAAGGATCCTTCTAGTTTTGAAATCCTTTCTTAATATTAACTATAAATATTTTCCAAATAGTTTGCTTGTTAAATGTTTGTAGTTGAAGCTACTTGGGTGGCGGGTTGGGGCTGGAAAGAAAGCTGCCTGGCTTGGTTTGGAGTGGCAGGAACACTGCCTGGCTTGTTCTGAAAGCTTGTATAGGAGCTGTGGCTTGAGTGCAGGTTTTAAGCCTGAATAAGAATTAAAAGGTAAAAGACATTTGATGCAGAAAGTACAATATGTGATTGTGGTTTATTAGGAGAACTGCAAATGGTTTGATATATTTGCAGATGAGTTTGAGAAAACATTTATAGGAAAGGTAAAGGTCCAAACTAAAGTCATTTTCAGGAATTGCTAAGTAGACCTGCAGAAGAAAAGGAGACTAACAAAACAAGTAAAATGAGATGTAAGATCAGTGAAGTTGAAGTCAATGTTAGCATTAAGAAAGTGAGGCAATCTGTATTTTTAAATTTCAGATGGTGAAATTTCAGACGAGGGTAAGTTCTAAGGCAGTAATGGCGAACCTTTTGAGCTCGGCGTGTCAGCATTTTGAAAAACCCTAACTTAACTCTGGTGCCGTGTCACACATAGAAATTTTTTGATATTTGCAACCATAGTAAAACAAAGACTTATATTTTTGATATTTATTTTATATATTTAAATGCCATTTAACAAAGAAAAATCAACCAAAAAAATGAGTTTGCGTGTCACCTCTGACACGTGTGTTATAGGTTTGCCATCTCTGGTCTAGGGTCAGTAATTTTAAATGGGTTAGGGACGCATAATGGATCATTGAGTTTAGTAAACCATTTTCAGTATGTAATTGCTGTGATTTGGTTTTAGTCTCAAAATTTCAAATAACTTTAAGGGAGATTTGGAATCTTTATTATTTAAAGGAAGACAATTTCAAAAAGTTGAGAAACACTGAAATTGCGAGAGTTAGCAAAGTAGTGGACTGCCAGTTATATTTAATTTACAGAAGGGTTTTGTTTAATCTGTACAATGTATTTTATAATTTTGAATTTGAATGTCTGTAAGCCTTATGTACACTCAGTTTTACTCATGTTATTACCCACTTAGCCCCTGAAAACAATTGAATTTGTAAAACCTAGTACAAATCTCCCAAGAGAATAGGATGTTGACATTGAGAAAATCAGTGATCTATAATACTAATCTTAGGAATATGGAATTCTTTTATTAAAAAGTACATATTTTAGTTATACAAGTAATGTCTGAATAAATCCGTAAATCCTTGTAAAACTTCTAACTTTAATTTTGGTCAGAAGTCTCCTGACCAACTCTAATTTTCCTCACCTCTACAGAGCTAACCACTATTACCAGTTTGATGTTCTACATCTGCTTCTGAATGGCTAATATTCTCATTAGCCATTGTGACTCCTCAGTCAAAACAGCATGGTACCGGCATAAAAACAGACATACTAGTAAAGATGGATGGAACAGCATAGAGAGCCCAGAAATAAACCCACACCTTTATGGTCAATTAACCTATCTCAAATGAGGCAAGAGCATACAATGAAGTAAAGATATTCTATACAGTAAATGGTGTTTGGAAATTGGACCGGTATATGCAAAAAATGAAACTAGACCATCTTCTTACACTATACACAAAATTAAACTCAAAATAAATTAAATACTTAAATGTTAGACTCAAAACCATAAAAATCCTAGAAGAAAATGTAGGCAGTAAAATCTAGGACATTTTTCTGAGCAATATTTTTTCTGATGGGAGGTCATTATTCACCAATGATACATCAGATAAGGAGATAATATCCAAAATTTCAGAGAACTTATAAAACTCAGCACCAATTAAAAAATGGTGGAAGGACCTAAATAGACATGGCTCCAAAGAGGATTTAGAGATGGCCAACAGACATATGAAAAGATGATCAACATTACTAATTATCAGAGAAATGCAAATTAAAACCACAGTGAGATATCACCTCACACCTGACAGAATGGCTATCATCAATAAATCAACAAGTGCTGGCAAGGATACAGAGAAAAGGGAACCCTTATGCACAGTTGGTGGGAATGCAGATTACTGCAGCCTATAGAAAACAGTATGGAGTTACCTCAAAAAATTAAAAATGGAACTGCCTTATGCCCCAGCAATTCTAATTCTGGGAATATATCCAAAGAAACCCAAAACACAGATTCAAAAAAATATATGCACTCTTATGTTCATTGCAGTGTTATTTACAGTAGCCAAAATATGGAAGCAGCCTCAGTTGCCCATCAGTAGATAAGTGGATAAAAAGGTTGTGGTACATTTACACAACGGAATACTACTCCACTGTAAAAAGGAAGGAAATCTAGCCCCGGCCAGTTTGGCTAAGTTGGTTGGGCATTGTCCTCTGCACCAAAGGGTTGCTGGTTCAATTTTCAGTCAGGGAACACAGGAAGCAGCCAATCAGTGTTTCACTCTCACACTGATCTTCTTCTCCCTCTCCCTTTCTCTCTCTCTAAACATCAATAAAAATATTAAAAAGAAGAAGGAAATCTTACCTTTTGCAATAGTATGGAAGGAACTGTAGAGTATTATGCTAAATGAAATGAGCCAGTCAGAGAAAGACAAGTACCATAAGATTTCGCTTATATGTGGAATCTAATGAACAAAATAAACTAACATACAAAATAGAAACAGACTTATAGATACAGAAAACAGACTGACAACTGTAAGAGGGGAGGGGTATTGGAGGATTGGGTAAAGAAGGTGAGGGATTAAGCAAAGAGAATACAAAACTCTTAGCCACAGACAACAGTATGGTGATTACCAGAGGGAAAGGTGGGTGGGAGGCTATAGCAGAGGGTAAAGGGGGCGGGGGGGTGGTAAATGGTGATGGAGGGAGACTTGACTTGGGGTGGTGAACACACAATATAATATACAGGTGATTATGGCATTGTACACCTGAAACCTATATCATTTTAGTAACCAATGTCATCCCACTAAATTAAAAAAAAAAGTGACTCTTAACTGCAGTTGTTAGGTTGGAAACTGAAGTATCATCCATGGCTGTCTGTTAGATGTTGAAGTTATAGATTTCCACTCCTAGTTTTTGTTTCTGTTTATGAAGATTGAATTCAAGTTTCTTCTCCTATTTCATTAATTTTGCCTATCTGTTATTAATCTTGCCTCATCTACTCCAGTTCTTCTGGTTGTCCAAAAATTTAGGTTGAATCATATGAAATTACTGTTTTAAAAGTGCTGGGGTCCAGCCCCAATGGGCCAGGGGTTCTCAAAGGTGTGGACAGAGTCGGTGAAGAATGAAGGACACGGAGACAGCGTTCAGATGATCAGCATAGCTCTCTTTAGTCTCCGTGGATCTTCCTGTGCCTGCCTGAGGCCGCAGAGAAAGATCCAGAGGCAAGCTGAGCCTTTATTTTATAGTCAGAGGTAAACAAGGTAGTAGTTACCAGAGTTACACTGTTCTTGTGAGTTTCACTTGTTTTGGCAGCACTTCCTGAACCTCCCTCAGCCCATTAGCTTCCCAGATAAGATCTAGGGAGGGTTATAAGGTCAAGCCTAATTATGCTAAGAGGACTGTGCCCTCCAAGCTGGGACTTGTTTGTGACTTTGCCAACAGGTCAGTCCGAGGCTTAACCCTATAGCTGCTCCCCACATAAAAGTACTTGGGACAATATGGGATTGCATATTTCAATATTATTCTTGGTGTGGATTAAACCAAAACACCAGAGTTATGTAGAATATCACATAACTCCACAGGTCCCAAAAATATTATTTTTTTAAAATATTGAGACTGATGATTTATAGTAAATGTATATAGTTATACTAGAGTCCCGGTGCACGGGTTTGCGCACCGATGAGGATCCTCAGCCTGGCCTGCACCCTCTCCCAATCCGGGACCCTTTGGGGGATGTCGGAGAGTTGGTTTCAGCCTGATCTCCGCAGGCCAGGCTCAGGGACCCCACCAGGGCACGAATCCCTGGGCCTCTAGTATGCATGTAAGATCTTTGATTAATCTG